ATATTTATTCTAACACCTGCTTCATTCACTCACACTTCTACAGCAGTGACCTTGTGTGGAGCTGTACACAATTAAAGTTGTATGAATACGTCACATCCTCCTCCACCCGTCTTCACATCAAACATCCTTGTAGGATAAAATCCCACGATGTTTCCTGAAGTTATATCTGGTTTCCTGCTCCTGAACATTTGCTCCCAGGCTGCAGACATTACGTATCCTGCATCCAGCAGTTCATCCATCTACAGACCAGTTTTCTTTCTAAAGTCTTGAGAAAGTTGTCCTTCTTCAGACCTTTCTAGATAAAAATGGCGCTAGTAATTCAGTCTGCTTTTAAAATGCACCACAGCACTAAAACTACTCCTTTAAAAGTTTTTAATGACCTTTTAACTTTTACTGACTTGGGAGATTCTGCCATTGTCATACGATTAGACCTCCGTGCTGCCTTTGATGCCATCATGGGATTCTTATCTCTGGTTTGAGCGCTGTGTCGGTATCAAAGGGACTGCAGAGTGGTTTAAATCTGTCCAACCAAAGGTTTCTGTTGGGTTGGGGGATACATCATCCTCAAAAGCCTCCCTGTCTTGTGGGGTCTCCCAGGGGTCCATTCTTGGTCCAGTTCTCTTTTCTATTTGCTCCCTATGGATTCAATTTTTAAAAAACATGGCACCTCATTGTTATGCAGACGATTCCCAGACTTACCTGCCACTGAAACGTAAATGTGTGAGTCCTCTGAAGGTTTTGCTGGATTGTTTGGATGATGTTAAGGATGGATGGCTTTAAACGTCCTTAACCTAAATGAACAGAAAGCAGAGGTGATTGTGTTTGGTCCCTGTGACCACTGCGACTTTAGAAATGTATAAAAAGCCCTTTGCGAGGAACCCAGGAGTGATTTTTGACTCTAACCTAACATTTGATAAACAGATTAATGCTGCAATCAAGTCCAGTTTCTTTCATCTTCAGCTACTTGCTAAAGTGAAGCCATTTCTCTGTTTTTAGAGACTCTGACAGAGATATCCATGCCTTCGTTTCATCTCGCCTCGACCGCTGTAGTAGTCTTTACTCTGGTGTCAGTCTGTCAGTCTGTCAGTCTGTCAGCTGGTCCAAAGCGCTGCAGCACGGTTACTAACTGGCACACTCAAACCAGACCACATATCTCCCACACTAGACTCATCACAGTGGCTGCCAGTTAGTTTCAGAATTAATTTTAAGATTTTATTATTTGTTTTGAAGGCATTGCACGGGTTAGCTCCCTCATCCATTTCTCCTGCGAGATCACTGAGGTGAGTGGACCAAAGATCGGGCCTTTGCTGGGACCGCCCCTTCACATCAGCACCTCCCAACTTTGGACAAAACAAGTGTGAAAACCCACTTTTATTCCTTTTAAGTCACAATGAGTTTGTATTACTTTTATTTTTATTTTTTTTTTCCTGTCCCGTTTGGATCTTTAGCCGTCAGAATTGTCTGAAGGTAGAAAGATGCCAAACAGATTTACCAAGTGGATCATCACGGCCATATTGGTCCATTTGATTGAGCTTTATTATAATTATGTATTTATTCTATTTTCGTTTTTTAAAGACGGGACAGACATGACTGGGGGATAGGACAGGGAGGAAGAGGGAGAGAAAGAAAGCCAGAGAGGAGAGACGGTGAGAAAGGGGGGAAGGAAACAAACACCTGGATCACCTGTATGGAGATAAACCAGAAGAGAAAACAAACAAAGAGCAACATAATAAAAACACCATCACAATAAACTAGCTAACAATAGCTAACAATAGATAACAGTAGATAACAGTAGATACTTTTTAATTTCACCTGTTGAGAATGAAAAAAGAAAACAAGCAGAAGAAAACGAGAGCAACATAATAAACAACATCATGATGATCTATGTGAATATAACATTAAATACTAAATATTAAACATTATTGTGCAGCACGTCAGATCGACAGCACAGTGTGCTTTGAGGTAGGAGCCAGAAAGGGTGTAGTTTGTGTGTGTGAGCACCTGTGAGCACCTGTGAGCATGGACGCTTGTTTTTAAAAGGTTCCTTCAGTCACTGTGAAAACTTTTGTTCCTTGGCTTTTAAGTCAGAATGAGTTTGTATTACTTTTGTCTTGTTTCTTACTCAAATTATCTAATTTTATGATTCTCATCATAT